CCCACATCTGCAGTCAGGAAGTGCTGCAAGCTCAGAGAAACCCTTAGTTGGTCAAGGAACAACGACCTGACGTTCATCAGCCTGCCCTGTTTTATCTGCATTGCAAATCTGCTCCTGTAAAAGATCGTTGTCCTCAGAGCCCTCTCAGGTTTTGTGGCTGGGCACCAGCCATTTCATGTAGGCTTAAAATAAAAGGGCAGAAGCAGCTCAGGCTCCCATACAGATCAAGTCATAAAAGCTGTCTCTGAGAAGCCCATGTCATGGTTAGGGCTTATCTGAGCTGCCAGAGCCTGGTGTCTCTCACACCATAACACACTGAGGCACAGGCACATCTGACTTGATGGAGATGACAGGAGCAGTCTCAGAGGCAGAGATGCCATTTCATGGCTAGTGCAGGGTGTCCTGCCCTTTACTCCACCGGTGCTGTCGCTCAGTGTAAGGGATGAAGGATGACCTGGTGGCTCCCCCACCCTCCCTGATGAGCAGTGTGGTCAGCTTTTGGAGGAACTTAGTGAGGGCTCAGGAGCCTCTGCAGGGTTTCTCTGTGCTGGCTAATATTTTATTTGGGAAAAGTTAATCTGCCAATCATGAGTTGCAAAGAGCTGAAAATCCTATCAGTCTGACTGCCAGCAGAGGGACCTGAGATGCACAGAAACAGCTAAAGACATGGTGATTTGGAGGGACTGGGATTTGCTCACTGTTTCATTACCCCAGCTCCATAATCAGCAGGGTTACCGGGTGGAAGGCCAGCACGGCAGCGTGCGAGTCCATCCTGCCAGCACTACTGACCTGTCTAAATGGAGCTTTTTTGTGCAGAGGGCTAAGCAGCGTTGGCTGATTTGGCTTTGTTTTGTTTTGTTTTGGTTTTTTTTTTTGCAGCTCCTTTATACAAATGTAGATTCCTTCCTTGTTTTGAATTGGATTTTTTTTTGCACGGTAACCATCTGGTATTTATTGGGAGCTCTCTGCCTTGAGTCTCTGAGCTACCGGTGGGGGCAATGTATGATGGCAACAGGCCAGCCATGTCCCCGTTTCATCCAGTCCACATATAACACCTTGCCGCCTGTGGTTGCAGTTTCAGCAGTTACTGTGCAAGATTGATTAAGCTCTAATAGAAGGTTTCATCTCCCTGGGTTTAACTCGGCACAGAAAAAAACCAGTCTGTTGCACCTGCTGCTTTGGGAGGCTTGTTGCAAGCTGTGCTATTAAATTTCACCATAGCCAGTGCAAAGCTAGAGCTGGATCCAGGCTGCGGTGACCAGGAGCTGCTTGCTAGGGAAGGAAAAAATTCTAATCTGGTGATCTCTCCTGCAAGGAGATACCTAAGTAAAATGAGAGCCTGCACCCTGACTGAGGAAAACACTGAGATAGTGCTGCTTAGGTCCCTCTGATTTACCATTCGCTTTGCAGAGACAATCGTGGCTTTCTGATGAGGATTATGTCCTTCACAGTCAGCCTCCCTGGGGCTAGAGGAAAAAGGAGAATTTATGCAGGTAAGCAGACGTCCCCATGATCCCCAGACTGGCCTGTGGACCAAGAGACCTACCAAAGCTGTTCCTAGCATGTAATGCAGCAGAATATAATGCAGGGCAGCAGAAGCAGACCTTTTGCTGACAGAGCAAGGCAACTCTGAGACTATGTCACTCTTCTCATACAGTTTACGTGCAGAACACTCACCTTTTAACTGAAGGGGATTTGCAAATGCTGCATAGGATGTACAGGGGATAATAGCACTGTCGGTGAACTTGCAACAGATGCAAGTATTTCACTGGTTTGGCAAGATCAGCATTTGAAACATATCAGCTGGCAGTGATGTCTGTCCTACATCACTCCTGATTTTGTAAAATAATTTTTTTTAAATAAAAGGAGAATATTGGGATGACCGATTCCTTGCCACTCGGCTGATTGATCAAAGGAGTTTATAACCAGATGTGTATGTTATTCTTGGACCTCCTAAAGCGGAAGGGTGGTCTGTGGGAGGATGGATCTGAGATGACAGCGCTTTTCATGCCATATCCTGATTTGGGAAGTCAGGAGTGCGGCTTGTCTGTGACTAGAGTGGGCAACCCTGTTGCGGGGGGACAGGTGCCTGGAGAGGGGTGTCAGTATTGCTCACGTGCGTGTTCTCTGCTTGATCCTGCGGGGTGTGGTGGGGTGGGTGTCAGACCTGGTGTCATCAGTTGTGCAATGTCTGAAGATGACAATTTAGTCTTTTATGAAGCTCTTGTATTTGATCGATATGTCAAAAATTAATCCCTGCAGTGTGTTTAGTTCTGCCTCCACCCTTTTTCTCATTATTCCATAGTATAAAGGCTTATATTTTGAACACTGTGTTCTGCTGTTGCAAGTAAATCCTCACCAGCCCACTGGGCAGCAGTTTCAGGATCAAGAATGACAATGCTTCAATGATAACCGGTGATGACATGGTTACTTTTCGTACACTGTAGCAGAGGAGGGCTTAGAGCATCTTTTCTGTCCCCTGAATCCAACAGAGTGGGATGTAGAAACCTCTGCTGCTAATAGCATGGGGCATCAAGCCCTTTCGGGCAGAGGCATGTTGAAGTATTTTTGGGCAGAGGCACTTCAAAGATGTTTTACATTGCTAACTGCAACATCTGCAAGCGGTGGCTCTCACTGTATCGGTGTGCATCCACACACATCTTTTCCACGGACCTGTAGCCTAAGGAAAGCCGTGACTCGTGAGCAGCTCTTAGGGAATGGGAGGGCAAAGGAGCACGGCATGCTTGCCCTAGGTTCTCCAACAGGAATGATCCTCAACAAAGATTGTTGTAAGAAAGGAGCCTTCTGAATAATGACACATGCTAATTACCAGCTGGAACAAAAGCAGGAGCATAAGGGACCTCTTGGATATATGTGGGCAGAGGCACTGTGTCCTATAACCCTGTCAGACCACTGATAAAACTTCATCCTAAAACCAGCCATTCCAGCTGGAAAGCTTCCCATTCTTATGGTTGATTTTTTTTCCTCCTCCTCTAATTTTCAACCTCAATGTGTTCACAGTGCATTTAGTCTCTTGTTGTCGTGCCAGCATTATCCTTTTGCTTCAGCAGTTTTGTCTCCTGTGATATATTTAGAGTGCAATCCTATCTGCTCTCTGCCTACTTTTGGCTAGGCTAAACAAGCCAGGCTCTTAAGTTTCTTTTTGTTTGATAGGTTTTCTGTTTCCCCCAGGCCCTTTCTGCACCTGTTCATTTGAGTTTATAATTTTTAAATGCGGGTGACCAGAGTTTTTTTGGTAGGATGCTCCTGTCATCAGTGCCTGTACAATAGCACTGGTATTTCACTGCCTTGTCTAGACTGCATTTGCTTTTCTTACAGTCTCACCATCTCTGTGACCCCTAAGGCAGCTTTAGTGTTTATTTTTCCTGACTTTACTGTGAATATGCACAAGTGTTAGCTAAATTGTCTTAGCTACATAAATACCACTCCTCTGTCACTGTCTCATGCCTGGTAACATGGGGAGGAGCTGAAGTCATCATAGCATAAGTCTGTGCATGTTGATGCTTTGAACTGGTGATTTGTCCTCAGGGCCAAACTTTTTCCTGAGGGCTTTTTTTCCTACATCTACTTACGTGTTGGCCGATGTAAATACGCCGGAGTGAGGCAGCTGTCACTCCTCCTAGTAAAGGCGAGTTCCCAGCCTCAGCTCCGTCTCCGGGAACCACCTCTAGCCCTGTCCCAGTGACAGGGGACTGGGTTGCTGCAGGGCTGGACATGATGCAGGGCTCAGGAGAAGGGCACTGAGCCCTGCAGCCCGGGCTTGACCTGCCAGTGCTTCTGGCTGAAGCTGCAGCTCAGCTGCTCTTTAGTTTTTCCAAAGCTAGTCTTCTGCTGCCCTACTTTTCAGAATTCACTCAGAAACAGTGAGTGTTTTTCTCTGCCTGGCACTGTGGAGGAGCAACCTCTCTCCCATCGCTCCCAGCTTGAAGGGAAGTAGTTTTCATATCCCCCCCCCCCCCCCTGCCTGCCTCTCCTGCTGGGTGGAGGGAGCTGGCTGAACTGAGCTGTCAGCTCCCTGCCTTTCCACACAATGCTGAGCCCTCTGCCAGACTTTTCAGCTATAAATGGATCTGGCCTTTTCCAAACCCCCCCCGCCCCCCGCCCGACACCAAGAGACATTGCGGGAAATCAGAGCTGGGCCAGGCTTCCTCTGAATTAGGAAAACATAACAATCCAACTACTGGCTTTTCGTAGGTTCTCTGGAAGCATCGTGCCTGGCTTTGGGGGAGCTGTCTGTGCCCCGGTGAGGGCTGTGCTGCTGAATTGCTTGTTTGCACTGCGAGAGC